TTTCTCGGCCAGAGTGCTCTCGGCCAGCTGCTGTCGAGATTTCTCGGCCAGCTCGGCCAGAGTGCTCTTGGCCAGCGCTGTCGAGTGCTCTCGGCCAGCTCGGCCAGAGTGCTCTCGGCCAGTGCTGTCGAGTGCTCTCGGCCAGTGCTGTCGACTGCTCTCGGCCAGCTCGGCCATAGTGCTCTCGGCCAGTGTTGTCGAGTGCTCTCGGCCAGCTCGGCCAGAGTGCTCTCGGCCAGTGCTGTCGAGTGCTCTCGGCCAGCTCGGCCAGAGTGCTCTCGGCCAGCTGCTGCCGAGTTTTCTCGGCCTGCTCGGCCAGAGTGCTCTCAGCCAGTGCTGTCAAGTGCTCTCGGCCAGCTCGGCCAGAGTGCTCTCGGCCAGCTCGGCCAGAGTGCTCTCGGCCAGCTGCTGCCGAGTTTTCTCGGCCTGCTCGGCCAGAGTGCTCTCGGCCAACCATTGTCCGGTGATTTTTTTGTGGAATATCGACAGCGGGTGAACCGTGTATCGATATTTGCTCTCGACGAATGTGGGTTCTTTCGATGTTCCTCTTCGGAGGTGAAATGTGGGTTGTCCGAAACTGTTTTTGTGGATCATCGACAGCGGGTGAACCGTGTATCGATATTTGCTCTCGACGAATGTGGGTTTCTTTGAATTGTCTCTTTGGAGGCAATTTACGTGCTAAGCGGTGCGCAAGTGGCTTCATCAAGTGAATTCGCGAGTTGAGTTTTAGCTATATGTTAAGCTTGGCAGTGGGTCATCTTGTTGGGGTTGGTTTGCGTTGTACGTGATGCGTATGAGTGGTAGTTGAGTTGTTTGGGAGGGCGGGTGACTCACTTCTACTGTCACCCTAGGAATTGGCCAAGTGAAACCACTTCCTAAAGCGTAGTATAGCGATGAAACTTTAAAGCAAGTCTAAACTAACAAACTAACAAAGCAAGTAAACAGTTGTATTCAGGTTAAGAGAGGTCACCCGGATATGGTTCCCCCCAGACTGCAGTTAAGCCGGATTGTAATTACCAAGTTCAGTTTCTATGAAAGTTATATTGCGGAAGGTTCTTAAACAGCCTGAAGTCTCGACTAAAGGTCTTCATACTCTCTCAATCTGAATCTCTAGCGGGCGACTAACCTCCACCAGAGTAGACAGATTGAGGCCCTAAGAACGAAACTTCCACTATCGGAGTAAATCCGGTACAGAATAGTGAGTTTGTTCCTCGACTAAAGTCACCAACTCCCTACCTTCAATCAAGGATACTCTATTAACCTAGGCAGATATTCTCATTCTAGGTTAAAGCAGAAACAACAGGAATTTGATCAGGATTCAAGTCATTCAATCATTAAAACCTCAATCGAATATAATCAATCATAGAATCAGTACTTGGGTTCATACAATCAAAGCCTAACATACAAATCTAGGGTTCTCCATACCCAGATGAATGGGAGAACTACTCCATAGAGAAGAAAGCAAAAGCAGAATCAGACGCGGAATTCATACTATGAAGGATGGATTCCTGCTTCTGGATGTTGATCGGCACTTCTCCAAGCTCAAGCTGGCCTCCAATGGTGTTGAAGATCAATCTAGGGCACTTGGAGACTCTTGTTCGTCGCTTTCTCTCTCTAAGAACTGATCTCTCTCTCTAAAACTCCAATCCCCTTCTGTTTGGCTGAAGTGCATTGGCGAACTCCCAGTAGCTGAGGGAGTGCTCCACCCCGCCGAGTGTGAACTGGACTGCATTAGAGTGATCGGAGTTCCCCCTCTGATTGTGGGTGAAGGTGGCGTAGAACTCCAAGACCAATTCCTTGTAGGTCGGCTCAGCAAGGGTGAGAAAACGCCGCCAAGCAGGGGAGCGGACCGCGGCCTCCATCGGTGGCCTGGCATGAAGCTCTTCGAACACCTCCCAATCGAGGTGATGGTGCTCGGCGATGCTGCGGGTACGGAGTTTCCGCAGCTTGTGGCGCTGGATGATGTTCAGCTGGTCGAGAAAATCCTCCATGATCCTGCAAAACACAATGAAGGACAAATTGTACACAAGCAAACGGGGTCAATGTTAGACCAAAACCACACCGGGAGTCCTCATAGCGAAAGATATGGACAGTGGACTAGACTCCCGGCGACACAAGCATACCCATCAGACGAGAAATACCAGCTGAATACACCGGGGACCCTCAAATCGAGCGATTCGGACAGTGGACTAGGCCCCCGGTGAAACAAACATACCACAACTGTCCTAAATAGCACCAATCGAGGCATCACAGAAAAAATTACATATCACGCAGCCCATTCACCATGCAATCAGCCCAATTATCCCCCAAACCCAAAATATTCCCCAAACCATGCATTCCACAATTAAAAGTTCTTCACCTAACTCTAGGTATCGATTCTCCAAAAATATAAGAAAAGACAAGGAGAACACACCTGGATACTCAAGAAGATACCACGAGAGAGAGGAAGAAAGTGGAGAGAAGCACCCAAAGTCGCCGGAAAACACACCGGAGACTCGCCGGAAAACCCACCGCCGGCGACCCAACCTCAGCCAAACCAGCCCAAATCGTTGGGGAATGTGCTCCTCGACGCCAGGAGCGTGGGGGCGCTCGCGGTTTGTGATTTGGAGGTCGGGAGAGGGAGTTATGGCCGGAAAATCGAGGGAGAAGGTGAAAGGGGCGATTTTCCGGCGAGGGGGGGGGGGGGCTGGGGGTTTTGAAAAAATGACTGATCTGAGATTGGGGGTGAAAAATTTCGTTTTTATAGGGGGGAGGCCGAAACACGGGCGGGCCATTACACGGCCGTGTTTCGGGTGCTCCGCGCCCGTGTTTTCCCCCAGCAAAGCACGGGCGGGCTCTGATTAAAACACGGCCGTGTTTTCAGAGCCCAGTGCCCGTGTTTTTTATGCCGAGAGCAAAAGGCAATACACGGGCAGGCACAGGGCGAAACCCGGCCGTGTTTTAACCCCCTGCTGCCCGTGTTTTTAGTGCCGAGCCTGAAATGCAATTTTTTCAATTTTCAATCGCAAACCACCATGATTCATTCGTGCCCCGGCTCTAAAATTTAACCAATCACACATCAAAACGAACCGCCCGAGGCACGAAAAACTTTCCAGACTGACTCCAAACTGACTCAAAGACTCAAAAACCGACAAAGTTGAAATAAATAAATAAATAAAAAACAAGGTAGAAATGCAAACCGTGGTGGGGTTGCCTCCCCACAAGCGCTTCTTTACCATCTTTTAGCTGGACGCCAATTGCGGAACTAAGGGTCCGCGAGCTCCACTGCTAACTCCGCACGTTCGACCTCGTCTCCCAGGTAGAGCTTGAGACGATGGCCATTCACTTTAAACGGCTCAGTTTGCGGGTTAGCGATCTCAATCGTGCCATACGGGAACACCTGCGTGACCGTGTACGGTCCAGACCACCGGGAACGGAGTTTTCCAGGAAAGAGTTTCAGGCGAGAGTTATAAAGGAGAACTCGATCACCAACCTGGAACTCTTTCGGACCCCGCAACCGTGCATCGTGTAGGCGCTTCGTGCGCTCCTTGTACAGCTTGGTGTTCTCATAGGCGTGATAATGCCACTCTTCCAGCTCCAAATCTGCATTTTTCGGTCAACACCTGCAACACTAACATCCAAGTTTAGCAGCTTAAGGGCCCAGAAGGCCTTGTGCTCTAGCTCCACGGGCAAATGGCATACCTTTCCATAGACAAGCCGGTACGGTGAGGTACCAATGGGCGTCTTGTAGGCAGTGCGATATGCCCACAGAGCATCATCGAGCTTGGTGGACCAATCCTTGCGAGATAGGTTCACCGTCTTCTCCAAGATCCGCTTGAGCTCCCGGTTCGTCAGCTCGGCCTGGCCACTGGTTTGAGGATGATAGGCCACGGACACCTTATGAGTTACACCATAGCGAGACAACAATTTATCGAACTGACCCTGGAAATGGGTGCCTCGGTCGCTTATGATGGCTCTAGGTGTCCCGAACCGGGAGAATAGCTGCTTCAAAAAACCACAAACACGTCTAGCATCATTAGTGGGCAAAGCTTGCGCCTCGGCCCACCTAGAGACGTAGTCAACAGCAACAAGGATATATGTATTACCAAAGGATGGAGGGAAGGGGCCCATGAAATCGATACCCCAGACATCAAAAATCTCACAAGTAATAAACACATTCTGGGACATCTCATCACAGGCAGAGATGTTACCTGACCTCTGGCATCGGTCGCACCTGCGTGCGAAGGCGTCGGCGTCCTTGAAGAGCGTGGGCCAGTAGAAGCCCGACTGGAGCACCTTTCTCGCCGTGCGGTTTCCTCCGTGGTGACCGCCAGCAGGTCCTTCATGACAGTGATATAGAATGCCCTCCATCTCACTCTCCATAACACATCGACGAATGATCCCGTCGGCTCCGATCCTGAAGAGATGAGGGTCATCCCAGAAGTAGTACTTCAGGTCGGAGAAAAACTTCCTCTTGGCGTGAGTTGTCATCCCCTTGGGCAGCTGCTGGCTCACAAGATAATTTGCAAAATCAGAATACCAGGGGGTGACACTCTCCACCAGGCACATCATCATCAGTCTCTCATCTGGAAAGGAGTCATTGATCTCCTCCTCGAGGTTGTCCGCAGGGGGTGCGTCCAACTGGGAGAGGTGATCGGCAGCAACATTCTTTGCTCCCTTCTTGTCCCGAATCTCAATATCAAACTCCTGCAGCAGTAAGATCCACCGTATGAGCCTAGGCTTGGCAACAGCCTTGCTCATCAAGTATCGAATCGCGGAGTGATCAGTATACACAACCACATGGGACAAGACCAGATAGGGGCGAAATTTATTGAAGGCAAACACCACTGCGAGCAGCTCTTTCTCCGTGGTGGTGTAGTTCTCCTGGGCATCATTCAAGGTCTTCGAGGCGTAGTAGATGGGTCGGAAATGCTGATCACGCCTCTACCCCAACACAGCTCCAACAGCAAAGTCACTGGCATCGCACATAATCTCAAATGGTAAGGACCAGTCAGGAACAACCATGATAGGAGCTTGGGTGAGCTTCTCCTTCAAGGTCATGAAAGCCGCTGTGCATGCATCAGTGAACTGGAAGGGGGCATCCTTCTCTAGAAGCTTCGTCAGGGGCAGAGCAATCTTAGAGAAATCCTTGATGAACCGCCTGTAGAAACCTGCATGACCAAGAAAACTCCGGATTCCCTTAACAGATGTAGGAGGAGGCAGTTTGCAGATAGTCTCGATCTTCGCTCTGTCCACCTCAATCCCCATCTTGGAGATCTTATGCCCAAGAGCTATGCCTTCTCGAACCATGAAGTGACACTTCTCCCAACACATTGCCAGGTTCGTTTCTTCACACCGTCTAAGGACAAGCTCCAGGTTATGGAGACAGTGAGAGAATGAGTCTCCATAAACCGAGAAATCGTCCATAAACACCTCCATAATCTCGCCGACCAGACGGTCAAAGATAGCGAGCATGCACCGCTGAAAAGTCGCCGGGGCATTGCATAGCCCGAATGGGATCCTCCGGTATGCAAAGGTGCCGAAGGGGAAGGTGAAAGTGGTCTTCGCCTGGTCCTCCGGTGCAATCGGGATCTGGAAGTACCCGGACATCCCATCCAGGAAACAGTAGAACTCGTGCCCCGCCAGTCGCTCCAGCATCTGATCAATGAATGGTAGCGGGAAGAGGTCCTTCCGAGTGGCGTCGTTGAGACGCCGGTAATCAATGCAGACACAGTACCCAGTCACCGTGCGCATCGGGATCAGCTCATTCTTCTCGTTAGGCACCACAGTCATCCCACCCTTTTTGGGTACCACCTGGGTGGGACTGACCCACTCGCTGTCGGAAATGGCGAAGATGATCCCCGCGTCCAGTAGCTTCACGATCTCTGCCCGAACCACAGCCTCCAGGTTTGGTGTCAGTCTCCTCTGTGGCTGTCTCACTGGCCGCATCTCATCCTCCATCACTATCCGGTGGGAGCAGAAAGAATGGCTGATCCCCCGGATGTCTGTGATCTTCCATGCGAGGGCTCGCTCGTACCGCTTCAGCAAGGTCACCAGTCTGGTCTTCTGCTCGGGTGTGAGGGTCGAGCTGATGATGACTGGTAGCTTATTCCCCTCCCGGAGAAATGCATACTCCAAATGAGGAGGGAGGGGCTTAAGCTCCAGCTCTGGTGGTTCCTCCAAGGAATTAGCGATGCGGGTGGAGGATGAGATCGGTTTAAACAGCCTGTCGCCCTCCAAGAAAGGGCCACTCTCCAACTCGGCCAACTGCTCCGCCAGCTGCGGCTCCTGCGATGCCTGCTCACCTAGCAAAATACAACGCTCAAGAACATCGTCAGTACCCGCACTCGTGATAGCGAGTGCGGTCTCATAATCAGCAAGCATATCACAGTAGTCTATGTCATCATGCAAATGAGGGTGTTTCCCATTCTCAGACACAGAAAAAGTAGCATGTTCATCACCAGCACGCAGAATCAATTTACCACTATGCACATCAATAAGCGCCTTGGCGGTGGCGAGAAACGGTCTACCTAAAATCAAAGGTACATCCACATCTTCATTTATATCCAAAATAACAAAGTCAACAGGATATGTGAATGCACCCACATTAACAAGCAAGTCCTCAATGATACCCCTAGGATGCACGATAGAACGATCAGCTAACTGAATGCTCATCCTAGTAGTTCTAGGTTCACCTAGGCCTAGCTTCTTAAACAGATTATAAGGCATGACATTTATGCTAGCGCCTAGGTCCGCCAAGGACTTTCCTACATGCATGCTGCCAATAACAAGAGGGATAGTGAAACTCCTTGGGTCTTTTGGCTTCTCGGGCAGCTTGTTGTGCAGGATGGCAGAACACTCCTCGCTCAGCATCACTGTCGAAAGATCCCCAAGTTTCTTCTTGTTGGTGAGGAGGTCCTTCATGAATTTGGTATACTTGGGCATCTTTGACAGTGCCTCCACGAACGGCATGCTGATGTTGACCTGCTTCAACATTGCCATGAACTTGGCAAACTCAGTCTCCAGCCTGTCTTTATGCAGGCGAGTGGGGAAAGGAAGCTGGGGTACATGCTCCTTAACCACTAGCTGTGGCTTGGGAGCAGGCGTTGTTGTGTCTTCCCCCACGTCTGCAGTATCAGCTAGAAGTGTTGAAGCAGGTAGTGGATCATCTCGACTGGGCTGGGCAGGAGCAGCTGATGTGGTCTTGCCACTCCTGGTAGTGATGGCATCAAGCTGCTGGAGCTGGTGAGGATCCCGAGGATTCGGGACAGTGGTGGCAGGCAAAGTCCCCGGTGCCCTGGTGGTGTTCTGGCGGGCCAAGATGCCCACCTGGGTCTGCAGATCCTGCAAAATGGCACCCTGGTTCCTCTGACCTGCCTCCAGTGAGGCTACACTCTGGTCCAACCTCGTGATAGTCGCCTGAGTGCTCGTCATGAATGAAGCCAGAATATTTTCCAGCTTCGTCATCTGAGTATCAGGAGCTGGAGCTGCTGCTGGCTCGGCAAACTTGCGCTGGGGCTG